TTGGTGACATGTTCCCCTTCGATCACTTGTCCTGAAACTGCTGACCTGAGTGGTCCAATGACAACCATAAGTACTCTTAATAATACTGTACAGTGCAAGTTACAAGCCTTTGGCCTGCACTAACAGCCACCTATCTACAACAGCCACCTCTCTACCAGGACCCCAGGGCAGATGGTCCATAATTTCACTCATATTTTAACTTCTCTACAATGGTAAGAGCTACTAAAACACACCCCAGCTGCCAATTGCCAGTGTATACAAAACACCCTTTGGTTGCTAGTGCAGAGTGCACTATTGGGATCGTTTAGGGGGCTGTTGTGGAGAAATATGCAATTAGTTGCACATAAATTATGTTGACCAGGTTAACTGCCAGGTTACTCATCCATACCAGCAGATGTATATGTTGTAGGTCAAAATGAAATTCATGTTAAAATGAAATTCCTTTGTCCCTTAACCCTAATTATTCATGGATCACAAATAATTAGGGTTGGAAGATAAAGGAAATTGATACAATCGTGGACAAAAGTCCTTGGGACACTTATTTAATGTAATGGATTATTTGTGTTTTAGAACTGAAGTTTGAAAAAAATGCTGCTATATCTTTTATAGATGCATTGCTGTCCCCCTCCCCACCCAACACAATGTTGAAAATCAGGTGAAATTGCACATACTAGTTTTCAACATTATATGGGTCATCCACTGATGAGATTGTTCACTTGTGAGAAACTCTGCAGTGGGCAGATCCTAATTGGCCTATAACGTTTACAACTTAATGTAGCAGAAGTTGACTTGTATGGGGTATGTTGCATGCATAATTTTTCAAGTTTCTTCCTTTTTTCTTTTTGGAAAATGCAAATAAAATAGTAATCAGTTATTTCTCATGAAAATTTCTTTTCAGGTCATTCCTTGCTGATTTCCGTGGTTTATTAGCTTGCTTATAGCATGAAAGCCTGAAGTAATATCGCTTTCATAAACGCTGTACGTAAGCTTACATTTACGTATTCACGTATAAAGTTGAACTTAAGCTTACAGTATTCCCTAAAAGTGATCAAAAATGGCAAGTAAAATAATCTGACACCCAAACAACAGCAAAATCATGACACCGCTAAGTAAATAGATAGCTAACCACCAGGCTAAGAGAAGCGCCATTCAAAGAAGGCAGATTTCTGCACAATCATATTAAAACAAGTATGGACTCCAACTGGAACTATAAATGCAATGGTTTAACAGGTTTATGCTAGATTTACTGTTCTTTTATTGAGCTGATTCTTCCGGTTTAAACACACAAAAGTTTTGTTTCAGCGTTCTTACAAGACAAAGAATAAAAGTCCCAAATCTTATCGCAGTGTTCATACAGAGAAGTAAACGTGTGTTTGAGAGCCATGTTGTGTGACCTCTCAAATACCGGGAAGCATTAGTTTAAGCCAAGTTTCAGATAATTTCTTGGTGATTTTGCACCATTCCCTTTAAATTCTGAGTACAATTTCACTCGGTCAGAGTCTTGAAACTTACCTTTGATGAGTTTTTAAATTTAATTCAATGCGATGATCGCTGTTTGGACTTGAACGCCTCACTCGACCATGTTCCCTGAGTACTGCAGTTGTGTCGTAGTCCAGAGTTTCATAGTGGTTTATGAAATCCCCCAGCGGCCGTCCTGTGAAACCAAAACACGAAAATTAGATACATCTTCCTCCGATAACGTAGTTCAATACGAAGGGATTACCAAACCACAAACGAATTTCAACTTACGATATGACCAAGCACAACTCCACAGAAGTACGAATGAAGCAAAACAAACACGTACAGCTATCATGCTTCGAAACCACAACGCTTCTCGAAGAAAAAGCCCGAAAGTAGACCAAAATGAAGGTCCTTTTAATTCGAATAGGTTTGTTGACGATCGGAAGAGTACTGGAGGTTAAAATTTGCGAGAAATAGTCGAGAAATTCTTTGAAAATTATATTTCAAAACTCTCTCTCACACCTTTGGGAATAATGCGCATGATCAAACTTGGAAGAAGCACGATGACGTCATATGGCTCGTCTTCGTTAGCTTGTTTACTTTGGTATTTTGTTCTCCATGGTTACAACAACAGGGAAGCAAAAACAATGTATTCTTTCAAGAGAAAATGAGGGGACACTTTTCGCACAGTACACGGCATGTATAGGTGCCCAATGGATTGTATCCCAGAGAATATATAATCGCGCATCTTTCTGCCGCATAAACTGCGAAAGTGTGGATTAACCTATGTTTTCTGACTTTTAGTAACTGATCGTGAGCACAGACCGTCACTTTTCATCATCGTATTTTATACGACCATTACATTACATTGCAATACTTAATCTGTAAAGATAATTACTTTATATTGGCAGTCTTATATTAGCGGTGTGAAAAAACTGAAAAAAATTAATGACATGGGTGCTTCGTATTGCCCAGTTACCCTCAGGGATGCCAAACAATTGCATTACTATATAGAAGATCGAGTCCATCTATAGACTCG